GGAAAGGTGCGTCCCTATACAACGCCGCGGTGGCCTTCAGGCCAGCTCCTTTCAGGCCTTTTTCCTCTTGCTCTCCGCCGAGTCTTTTAGGAACCCTCCTGACATATTCCAAAGGGATTCTATCCCTCTCCTCATCCCATTCGGCTGCCTTCACACCGAACCTTTTCTCCAACCTTTCGTAGTCGATGAAGTTCCCGTCCTTCCATTCTTTCCCCTCCTCGTTTTCAGAAAAAGAAAGAATGAGGATTGAAAGCAGAGAAGGGAGTAGTGGCACGAAGAGGGACAATGACGTTGAGATTGAGAAGAAGATCAGCGAGTGGGTTGTTAATTTATCGTTGGGAGAAGACGAGGAGGCGGAGTCGTATGTGACTGAGGATGAGAAGGCCGCACTGGTCGCTGAGCTAGCAGCCATGCCGGACCCTATGGAACGAAGAGAGAGGGAAGACGAGCAGAAGTTACAATGGAAGTTGAGAATGAAGAGGGAGAAGAGGAGGAGGAGAGAAAAAGTGAATAAAATGACCGCAGTCGTGGCACAGGTGCAAGATTGTACGAGAGAAGTGGGGGCCCAGTCGGATGACACGGCCAAGTGGGATAAGGTACTGGGCTACCTAGAGGTATTGAGCAAGGCCTGGATGTAGGAGCGTCAGGCAAGTTGGAGCTAGGATGTAGCCTTGAGTGCCATGCGGTCAGGGTTTAGGGACTTTGCGCGCGAGATCGTCACTCACATTGGGGGCGAAGTAAAGCAATTAAGGGACAACGTAGGGAAGTTTTGTGAGGGCGCCATTGAGGGTGCCAAAGCCATAGCCGTTGTAGAGGGCGAGGCCAGACCCCGCAAGGACCCAGTTAAACTTAAGTTTCCAAACGCATACGGGGGAAAGAAAGAGGAGAACTTTGACAACTGGGAAGCCAGTGTCATTAGTTATATTTATCTACAGCATATCCTGACAGATGAGCAAGTCCTCGTGGCCTTCCAGACCCTCAAAGATGAAGCGGCTAGTTTGCCAGGTCTCTTGCGCGTGCAGCCGGTTGTGAAAACAACCTGGTTGCTTACTCTAAAGTTAGCCCCCTTCCTCAATTCCTCAAGCTCCTGAAGGAGCGATTTGCGGACCCAACGAGAGGCATTCGTGCCTCTGGCACGCTACAAACAATCCACTCACGACAGTGGAGGAGTGCAAGGGCACTCAAGGGAACCATGGAGGGCCTGGTGGCCGTCCCAGACCATGGGGCCACTAAGACCCAATTGGTCCAATTGTTTTATCGTGCCATGTCAGAGCCCCTGAGGGGCCACTTCTTTGATAAGACTGAACAGGCCGGCATCACCTATAATGCATTGAGTAGGGAAGTGGTCCTGTTCGAGTCAAAGTCCATGCCAGTTTCCACCTTCTGGCATAAGGACCTGGAAAAAGGGAAAAGGTGGAAAGGACGTACCATCTCTGGGCAAGTCAAGGCCAAGGACCACATGATCCTGACGTTAGAGGAAGGTGGTACTGATAAGGTCCCATATAGTCAGATTGAGTGGGCCCTAGAGGAAGAGGACAGTAGTGTAGGACAGGGGAGGTCTTATGCTGCTGTCGCGGTTGGAGGGAGGCCGCAAGGTAGAGGAGGAGGCCAGGGCCAAAGGGGCCAGGCCATGGGAGGTCGAGGACCGGGCGCATAGGGGGTTGGCGGCCAGGGAAACCTCCAAGCGGGAGGTAGGGGTCAAGGTCCCCTGCCAAATCGCCAGGGTAATCGGTCCCCACAGAGACGAGGTGGAAGGGCACCTCAAGGAGGATGGCACCCAGGCTTGCCATAGGGCAGGCCCTGGGAAGACTTGGGCTTGGACCAGGGGTTATGGCAGGAATGCGTGAACCTGGGTCAGTGCGTGTTTTGTGGTGACCCGGCCCACGTAATAAAATTTTGTCCAAAGTATAGACAGGCCCATTGGGCTGCCCAGCAGTCAAAAGGCAGCCGCCAGTAGGGGTCGCAACTGCCCCTACTTCAAGGCCATGTGGAGAAGTGAGCGCGCGCGAACAGGACACTCCCAACCCACATGAGCCTATGGCAGAGGTTGCAAGCCCGTGCCTAGCTAGCTGTCCAGAGACCGCCTATGTTAGCGTCTCTTTAGGCACGTCCCGCACAGGTGTGGCAGAAAAGTTAAAGGAGAGAATGCCAGCCTGGGCCAAGATGAAGAAAGAGAGTAAAGGACAGCTGATCTTAGTAGATGTAAAAGTTTTCAGGAGTAGAGTAGGGGTCCTTATAGATTCAGGGGCCACCCGCAGTTATATTTGTCGTAGGGCGCTGAAGAAGCTGAAGCTAGGACTAAAAGTCCAGAAATTAGTAGACCCCATAGTCAGTGTCCTCGCAGACAACCGCACGATGCGAGTTGAGGACTATGTAGAGGGAATCCAGGCGTACTTTCGCCTAGAGAAAGATGGGAAGGTGGAGAAAGTTCTCCATTCCCTGACTCTCCTCGTACAGGATGAGCTTCCTTTTGATGTAGTCCTAGGAATTGATTGGGGAGAGGCAGCAGGGGCCACACTCCATTTCAGAGAGCATGACTGCAGGCTCCCTAGCCCGTCAGGCGAGGTTAAGATTGCTCGCCTGTTTCATGTGTCAGGTGTAGACAACACCCTGGCACATTGTTGTCTCAGTGCTCCCGCGTTCGCGTGGTTAGTAAAGAAGGAGCGGTTAGAAGAAAAGGTCTTTGTAGTTTATGTTAGACCAGTCACTGAGGCCCAGAAAGAAGACGGGTTCTACAGATCCAACCATAGCCAAGCTGGTGGAAGAGTTCAAAGATTTGACTGAGTCGCCGACAGGAGTAGTGCCGCGACCCATCCAGCACAGGATAGAGATAGAGCCTAGCAGTAGAACTCCTGCAGTCTGCAGGATGTCCCCTAGAGAGTTAGAGGAGCTTCGCAAGCGGTTAGACGAGCTCCTCGAAAAAGGTTGGATCAGGCCCAGTTCGTCTCCTTTTGGAGCACCTGTTTTGTTTGTCCCCAAGAAGGAAGGAGAGCTGAGAATGTGTATAGACTATAGGGGTTTGAACGCGATTATTGTGAAGAATGTCGAGCCATTGCCCAGGATAGACGATCTTCTAGATCGGGTGCAGGGTTGTAAGTATTTCAGTAAGATTGATTTGAAGTCCGGTTATCATCAGATAGAAGTCCATTCTGATGATCAGTACAAGACTGCCTTCTGGACTAGATATGGGCATTACGAGTTCATAGTGATGCCCTTTGGACTAACCAACGCGCCAGCTACGTTTCAGCGTTGTATGAATGACCTATTCAGACCCTGGATAGACAAGTTTGTAGTGGTTTATTTAGATGATATTTTGGTTTTTAGTAAGACCCTCCAAGAACACCAGGGTCATCTGAGGCAGGTCTTGGAGAAGCTACGAGAAGCTAACTTCAAGATCAACACGAAGAAGTGCGAGTGGACCAAGACACAAGTCTTGTACTTGGGCCACGTATTAGACAGAGATGGCATTAAGCCAGAGGACAGTAAGATAGCGACGATTAGAGACTGGCTGACGCCACACACATTGACAGAGTTGCGGTCGTTCCTAGGCCTAGCCAACTATACAAAAAGTTTGTGAGGAACTTTTCTACTATCGCCGCTCCCCTGCGCCGGTTGCTTAAGAAAGAAGCAATCTGGCAATGGGACAAAGATTGTACGTCTGCGCTAAAGAAATTGAAGCGCGTGTTAATAGAGTACCCTGTCCTCAAAGTAGCTGATCCGTCTTTGCCATTTGTCGTCACCACGGACGCAAGTCAGTACGGGATAGGCGCCGTGTTGCAGCAAGATGACGACAATGGCTACAGACCCGTAGAGTTCATGTCAGCGAGGATGCCTTTAGAGAAGGTTGCTACCTCGACGTACGAGAGAGAACTCTACGCTCTCAGCCAGGCTTTAGAGCATTGGAAGCAGTACCTGCTTGGGAGGCACTTCAAAGTGTATTCTGACCACGAGACTCTTAGATGGTTAAAGACCCAGGCCAATATGACACCGAAGCTGACTAGGTGGGCCGCAGAGATAGACCAATATGACTTTGAGCTTAAACCAGTAAAGGGCAAGTACAACGTAGTTGCGGACGCTCTGAGTAGGATATTAGACTACTTTGGAGCCATAGTACACTATCTGGATATAGGGAGAGACCTGCAGGAGAAGGTGAAGCAAGTGTATGTGCAGGACCCTATCTATAGCGACCTCCTAAAGAGAGTCAGAGAGGCTCTAGAGACTGAGCCAGATTACCGCACTACGGACGGGTTGTTGTTTGAGAAGACTAACGTATTTGACCGCTCGTGCGTTCCCAACAACGAAGAGATCCGTAGTCTGATCCTAGGGGAATGCCATGATCCAGAGGGACATTTCAGTTGGCAAAAGACTCTAGCCAATCTGATGTGTGCGTATACCTGGCCAGGAATGAAGAATGACTGCATAGAGTATGTCCGCAGTTGCAAAGTATGCCAGCGTAATAAGACTACTACGTGTGCACCCCTTGGTCTTCTCAGACCCTTGCCTATTCCGGATCAGCCGAGAGACTCAGTGTCCATAGACTTCATGGACACCCAAGTCAAGAGCCGGCATAGTGAAGGCCAAGTCATGGTCATAGTTGACCAGTTTAGTAAATATGCAGTTTTCGTTCCTTTGCTTGCAGAGGCACGTACCGATTTAGTGATACAAAAGTTCTTTGACTTTTGGGTTAGTGAGAATGGAATCCCATTGTCAATCGTTAGCGATAGAGATAGTCGCTTCACCAGGCAGAACTGGCAAGAACTTATGCGAGTGTACGGATCTAAGTTGTTAATGTCATCTGGCCGTCATCTAGAGACCAACGGTCAGACAGAACAGATGAACAAGATCGTACAGCAAGTTTTGCGCATGTATATTAGACCAGATCAGATCAAGTAGGATGAGATGTTGCCTAAGGTAGCTAGTGCATACAACAACAGCGTACATCTATCCACCTGCCGGACTCCCAATGAGCTGCACAAGTCCTTTAGACCACGCAGACCGTTCGAAGGACTGAGTCGGGATCAGATTCACAGACTACCGCCCGGTACCAGGGAATTTGCGGTACAGCACGAGAAAGAATTAACAACTGTTGTTGAGAACCTCAGAAAGGCCCAGCATAAGATGATAGAACATGCTAACAAGCACCGTCGCCCATCACAGTTTCAAGTAGGCGACTTAGTCTGGGTAAAGGCAAAAGAGTTTTCTCCTGAAGAAAACATTTCGCAGAAGTTACTGCCTGCATATAGAGGACCGTGGCCGGTTCTAGAAGTCAAGGGCGGAGAGGATGGACCATCATACACTATAGAGATCCCAGTACACCTCCACACATATCCTGTGTTCCATGCTTCGAAGTTGTTGCCATATGTTACAAGCCAACAGTTCCCTTCTAGAAGATCCATGATCCCTCCGGATATGGATGGAAGCTATGAAATAGAGGGCATTGTAGATGAGGATGTGTTTAGAACAGGAGGTAGAGGTCGTCCACAGAAACAGTATAAGGTCCGCTTTGCATATCAGGAACCTGAGGATGACCGCTGGTTTACGAGATCAGAGCTTCTAGAGACAACTCCCGATATAGTTAGAGCCTACGAGAGAGAACAGAAAGGTAAAGGTCCTACCTTGGACTGAATTATTCTCGAAGGACCTCGAATTTAGGACGGCGGGAGTGAAACGGTATTCATCAGTCAGCAGTGGCTGCTGCGGATCCCAGGGTTTGATCCCTAGATCCCGACCTCACCTGTGCACTGTACCTGTGTCGGTTGGACCCTCGACCTGTGTATTTGTAACAGCTGGTAGGTTGTCGTAGGGTCCATAGGTAGCGTGGGTTCGATCTGTAGACCTGCCGGATAGGAGTCTTAGTCAGGTCTAGACATCGTGACTGTAGTTTTCTTGAAAGGTCAAGGTCGTAGCTGCTACAGTCCAGAAGGGTCAGGATCGTAGTTGCTACAGTCACGAAAGGCCAAGTCTACGGCCTTCCGGAAGGTCCCAGTAATGGCCTTTCGAAGTTGCCCACATTTAAGCAGAGGCAAGTGGTCAAGTGGTGAGGCAAGTGGGCAAGTGGTAGAAGTCTACCCTGCTGAGTCAACAGTCCCAGTCCCCAGTCAGTCCAGCAAGTACCGCACGGGACTGTGTGCACTTCGGGCAAGGGAAATGGGCCTGACCAACGACCTGCAGAAGTATAAATCAAGAGGCAGCGCCCAGCCATTCATTCATTCCTGCGTGAGCCATGCGGAAGCGCCGCCACAGCGACTTGTGCAAGGAGGTCTGCAGTGAGCCCGGAGGACGCAGTGGGCGAGAGAGGAGGAGTTCGCATAGCTGCCATAGTTGTAGTTAGTGGGAAGAGTGTGTGTGCATGTGTAAGTGTTCAGAGTGACGTGTGTGGGATATCCAGGGTGATCCAGTGTGTGTGAACAGTGAGTCGATTGGGCGCTGAGTCGCCATAGCCAGTTGAAAGTGAACTCTTATCTAGAAGCCATATCTCTGAGTATTGAGTGGGCGCTTGTCGCCAGTTTGCTGTGATGTTGTTTACATGTATGAAAAGTGTGAATAAGATGAGTCTGATTGCAAAATTCAATTTTTCCCCTGAATTTTCTGCACTTTTTTCCGCCAAATTTTATTCCATTTCAAATTTACGTTCCGATTTTAATTTTTCCTTCACAAAACTTTGCCCCCGAATTTTAATTCTTCCCCCCCCCCCCCTCTCATGTCAACTTCCTCTAATCCCGATTTAAATCAACCATCATTTTTCTAAATCAGGATTAGAAACCACTCCCACATGCCACCCCGCCAATCCAAGACCTCCCAACGCGTCGCCGCCGCCGCCGCTGCTGCCGCCACTGCTGCCACCTCCGTTGTCCCCTCCACTCCATCTTCTCCCTCTGCCCCACCTTCGTCCCTCCCCATGGCCGAAGGCACCGCAAGCATCGACATGGGAGCGCTCCGCGTGGATTCCGTCGAGGATATCCACCGCGAGCTTGTCGACCAGCCAGGCACCGGGGAGAACACATCTCTCCTCTCCATGTTTCAAGCACTCTCTGCCTCGCTCCGCAAAATTGAGGCCTCCATGACCTCCATATCCGATCGCGTCACCTCCCTCGAAAACCACACACCCCCCATCACCGTCGTCACAACGTCATCACCCCCCTCCTCCTCCGGCCAATCCATCCAATCCACCCCCGCCGCCCAAACCGGCCAACCATCTTCTTCCGGCCAAAATAGCCAACCCCCCTCCTCCGGCCAATCTGGCCAAAGCCTCTTCGATGGCCAAGCCGGCCAGGCCTCATCCTCCAACACCACCCCCCCATTGTCCTCCACCACACCTTCTTCCACCCCCGTCACTTCCCTTCCCGTTTCCCTCCCCTCCTCACAACCTACTACAAGCGCTTCCACCACTACACGAACCACTCCCCTTCGCCTCTCCTCCCCCCTCACCCAACCTCTCCTAACTACTTCCACCGTCCCCTCTGTCCACCCCTCTTACTCCCAAGTCCTTTCGGGCGTTTACCCCGCCATACCCCAACCTCCTCCTTGCTACCTCCTTGGTGACCGCAGTCAGGATCACACCTGCTACGACACCTCTCCCGACGACCGCAACTTCAACACCCTCGCTTGCATTGTCCCCCGCAACGGGGACATTCCCCGCTCCTTCCGTGCCACCAATATTGCGACGTTCTGCGGCCTCCCCCACGAGGACGTCCTCCTTTTCCTCTCTCAAATTCAAAATGCCTTCGATCTCCACAGCATGCCCCTCGCTCATTGGCTCCCCACCGCAACCTCCTGTCTCCAAGGCGCCACCGCTCAATGGTGGTTAACCGAAGCCAACAACCGCCGAGCCAACGGCCTTCCCCGCATCACCTTCCTTCAATGGCCCGACCTTCTCATCGCCACCTTCCGTCCGCAAAAGACCATCGATAACTACATCGATCAATTTTGCAACCTCCGCCAAACCGGCCCCACCGAGCGATTCATCCAATTCATTCGCTCCTTCCGCCTCCACATCCCGTCGACTCTCATTTTCGACTACGTCTTCATCTCCCGCATCAAGCGGGTATGCTTCCCCCACCTTGCCGCAGCCCTCGCCCATGAGCCTGAGCTCCCTCTCACCGATCCTCTTACCCCGCCTTCTCCACCATAATCGCCTTCCTCACCTCCGCTCTCAACAACTAGCCGCCCCCAACCGCACCCGGTTTTTCCACAACATGGCCTCCGACGACTCGTCACTCCCCTCCAACGACAGCCTTGACTCCTCTCCCGAGTCCCTTGACCCAGCCCAATTCACCGAGGAAGACTTTCAGACTGTCCATCTCATGAGGATGGAACGGCAACGCCTGGCCTCCCAACCTTCCTCCTCCCCCCAACCCCCTCGTCTCAAAAAGGTCACCCTGGCCGAACGCGCCTTCCTCTTGGCCAACGGCAATTGTTTCCGTTGCCGCCAGCTGGGGCATCAGCAAACCAATTGCCCCAAGGCCGACCGCTCCACCCACCAGGCTTCCCGCCCCACCGGATCCATCCCTCCCACATCCACTTCCTCCTCCTCCACCGCGGCCTTTGGACCCTCCTCCACTTGAACACTGTTCCCCCGCCCCTTGTAGCCATATCCTGGCACCAACAATTCGTCTGCCAACCCCTGCCCGGGTGACGACTTTCACACCGGACACCCCCCAGGCATCACAGTCTACTCCACCTGCCCTCCTCCCGACGACGTCCTCTATTCCGTCGGCTGAGCACCCCACGGCCACATGTTCCACTACCCTCCTCCCCAACCCCTCCACCATCACTTTCTTCGATCTCGTTGAGGAACAAGATCGACACACTTGGCTTGTTCGATTAGGCCTCGAGCAGCGCCGCCTCAACGCCATGATCTCCTCCGTTTGTGTCGGGACGGCCCAGTTCCAGCTCAAGTTCGTCGCTGTATCCTTTGGAGCACCAACGGTGAAGTTTTAGGCCCTTCTCGACATTGGTGCCACCGGCAACTTCATCAAGGATGCCTGTGTCCGCAAAGCCGGCCTCTCTTCTACTGGCTATGATTCCCCGATCGCCATCCACCTAGGGGATAAGGACTCTACCATAGTCGTCGACCACACAGTCCCCGACCCTCAGATCTCCGCCCTCCTATCTGAATTCAAAGACGTGTTTCCCGAATCCTTGCCCGCCGACCCACACCATCGATCTCGAGCCCGGCCACTCCCCCCCTTGCCGCCCCCCATACCAGCTCTCCGTCCCCGAGGCCGAAGAAATGAAGCGCCAGCTCAATGAACTCCTTGAAAAAGGATTCATTAAGCCTAGCTCCTCCCCCTTCGGAACCAACTGTCTCTTCGTCAAGAAGAACGGCACCTCGGAACTCCGCATGTGCACAGA